GATGACATGGTCCATTCGATATTGTTCTTTTACCTATTCAGATCTAGTTAAGATCAGAGTACCATGCAGCAAGTATATCGAGCAACTGTAACAAAATTAGGGGAAATGTATTTCAATAAATATTGTAGTATTTTATTTTTGTGCAGCCTTGACATAAGTGCTGCAGTTGTTATGACTGTAGCTAACTTCATGTAGCTTCCATCTATCTGTACTTGGACAAGGCACTTGGTTTAGATTTATTTTCAGGTCACGCCACTAGATATATACACCCACACCACTAATGACACGTCATTCAGATTCAGAATAGATACTTTAAAGTTAGAATGCTGCATCAGAAATGATGCAAAACCATAACTGTTAGTTAGAAAATGCTTTCTTTTTGGACTTTAGCTGGGTCACGCTGTGGTCATTCAATATTATGATACTGGGGTTCTTTCCCTTTTCTCTTACTTTTGACTGATGATAAAATCACTTGCATGGTATGTATGCATGTGTGCATGTGTGTGGCCCAGGCTGGGCTGCTGTTTGGCATGCCTTGGATCATGACCTTTTGCCAAACCTCAGCAGTAGCTCTTGGGGAAAAAATGTAAACATACAACCAAATTTACTCTGGTTTCTTTATTTAGCTCAGTGAAAGTTGATACTCATTGTTATAAGGCTTCACTATAGCAAACTCTTTGCTAAATTAGAAAATGGGAGAAGCTAATTTAATATTTTAATAAAAGTAATTTTGTAAAAAATATGAGTGGGAGGCAAGCAAATAGATTCTCCTAATGTAGAAGGAAGAATTGTAAGTGATTAACAGTTGTGATAATTTTATTTCTTTATTTTAATCACATTTTAGTCTTCAAGGATGACAAGGAAGAAAACACCTATTTTGTTAGGCCAGAAGTATATGGAAACATTATGGAATAATACTAATTACTAAGAAAGTGCCAGGATTGTGGGTAGTATAATAATCTACAATTTTCTGAGAATATCCTTACTAAAATGACCTACCTAATTTAAGTGTAATTTCCAAAATAAGGAGACCAGATGTCTTGTTTGGGACAGTGCAAGTGATGGACACTTTTCCTTGAAATGGGCTGCCTTCTACTAACATTAAACTGGCCTTTTTTCTTCCTGTAGACGATAGTTTAGGATTATGCTGGTTTTTCCTATGTGGTTACAAGTTATGGGGAAAAAGAGCAGAGTTTCCATAAACCAGAACATAGAGGATTTCAGTAAATGGAAGACATTTTGTCTACTTGGTTATTTTGACTGGCATTAAAACTCACCTGCCAACAGTTTGCCACTCATACTGACTTTTTTATATTTGTTGTGAGCTGTTACCACTGTTGGCTATAAGATGATCACCTAATTACAACTTGCAGAGCATTTAAATGAGTTGTCGGTTAACACAGAACGTGTGTAATTGATAGAAAGATTAATGATTAAAACTGTCAGTTTCCCCTGCCTAAAATGTGGATATTTGCCCTGAACTATGCCTCTTAAGTGGTTTTCAGATGTGTCCCAGTGTAAAGCCTGTGATGAATCAGCATAGATCCAAAGGATTTATAGTATTGGGTTAGGGGTTTTGTTTTGTTTGTTTGTCTTTAAGTTTTAAGAATACGGAAGTTCACATGACGAGAACAGTGACCTTTCAGTCTTTTCCATGTAGACTCCCTTCTGCAAGTTAAAGAACTTCCTTCAACCTGAGTACTTACATATTTAACATACTGTACAAGCAAAAGGATCTACATTTCATTCATGAGGATATTGTCAGTAGTGCTATCTAGAGAAAGCTAAGCCCTGATGTTTGGTGTGAACAGAACCAGAGTAGACCAAACTGTTTAGTATTGCATATTTGAAGGTTAAAAAAAATGAGGCTTTGGCTCACCCACACAGCAAAAACCCTAAACCATCAAAGGAGAATACACTCATGTAGATTAACTTTTACCAAACATATTGGCTTGTCTTTGCAAGTTGATGGGACTCTGGAGACGAGGCTGCAGAAGTTTTGTATAAACAGTTTTGTTTATGAGATGGTGTGGAAAATTTGGAGTTAAAGGAATTGTCATGACAGGGAGCTAAGACGAAAATGTTTGACTACAAAATTTAAAAAAACCTCAAAGCTTCTTCCAATTCTTAGAGAGTGTTTTCATGATAACAAGCATCATCTCCTGTGTTTCATTTGTGATTAAATCAGCTACTGTCATCCAAATCCAGTAGAAGGGAAGGGAACAAAGCAAGGAAGAAAACTGCTTTGCCTGGATTAGGGAATAGGGAGAAGGGCAGAATACCCGCAGGAGGATGGCTGTAGCCCCTAATTCCTCTCTGTTGTCCATGAGGTTGTTGTGTGCTTTGCCAGATAAGAATCAGTGCAAGCACCAACCTTAACATCTGTGTTTCTGCGATTGTTTTGCTTACGTGATTTCCAGGAGAAAGGAAAGCTTAGACCTATGCCTAGAATTAGTCATACACTGTGCAGCTTTCTTATGAACCCCCAAATCATCATCAAGGTCCTTGCCCAAGCTCTGCCCCTTTCTGGCACCTTTACCTGTCTCCTCACCTGACACTTTCCTTTTTCTCTCCCCTCCCATGTGCCACCTTTTCTCCCCCTGCCTCTGGCTCATATTGCTGGTTTCTTGAGACTATGGGGAATTTCGTGGGCTCTGACTCACTCCCTTTCCCAGGCAGTACAGGCATACTTATCTCTGTACTGCACAGTAGCAGGGAAAAGGAAGCACTTCTGGGTTTTATGCTTTTTACTAGCTTAGCAATGAGCGAGGGACTGCCATTGTGGCGCAGGCAAATAGGAATGACCTATGCTGTGTAATGCGTATACTTAAAGTATCTATATATGCATACATTTGTGCATCGCTGTTTAAAAGTTACATCAGTACTTGACAACTGGAATAGCTGGTGCAGTTTTAATATGTTCTTGTAATATCCATTGTGTTTGTGTTGGACTGAGATTAGTATATTTTATCAAGTTTATTTCATTTGCAAAATAAACAGATAATGGTTTATTAGTGAAAATAGCAACTGAAAAAGAGGAACTTTGAAATATCTAAAACAAGGTAAGATAAAACCAGTAAGAAACTAAACCACTGGGTTTCAGACATGCATGGCTAAAAAAATTTCTAATATATTTCCTAGCTTTATGAACGCTTGTAACTTCAGATGAGTTACTTAATTGCAGATACTCTTAATAATTAAACCTGTATGCTTTGCAGTACTTGCATTTTAAAGACTTAAAGCGTAGCCTATTGTTTGATTTAAATTTTGAATAAATAGCTCCCTTGTTACCTTTCTCCTGGTCCTTTGCTTTTTTTCAATAATGTCACAAGATCAGGAGCAACACATATTCATGATGAAAGCACTATGTAGAGCAAACTGGAACAAAGAAGAAATGGTAACCTAAGAATATTGGACAGGTGACGTTGCCATGTATCATACTTGTGTATTGTACCTTGCCAATTATGCAGCGTGAACTTTGAGCTGAGTAGACTTTAACCAAGGCTAAGTGATTATCTTGAACCTTGTTTACAGTTAGGATTTTACAACTTAAACAACTGAATATCTAGATATACTTTCTAAACTGAGATGATAAGGACTTCAAGGGTTTTTCTCCATCAGAATTGCAGTCTTGGACTGCTGTGCATTTGATAGCTCTGCATTTCACATATGTAAGACAAAACGTCTTGTAGATAAGTAATCAGAATGTCTTATCACCTTCTTAAGGACTCCGAGTGTTGCATGTTGCAAGCTGAAAGCTGAACTTGACTGTTAAGGGTCTGACTCAGGTCTTTGTTAGGGACAGATCACTCATCATCATCATCATCATCATCATCATCATCATCATCACTAAAACGAATGGGTGTGACACGCAAATTTTAGGAACTGTATTCAAAAGATCTGCAAAAATGGCTACAAAAATACAGAAATATTTATTTATGATTTTGACTTTGAAATGAAAATAAATCCTACTGTGAACATTTGGCATGAAATCTTGCCCTATTGAGGGCAATCGCAGTTAGTGGAACCAAGATTTCACCTAGTGTGCATTTTATTTGCAGTAAAATAAAAAGTCATAAATAAGATGACTCATGTGGCTGTTGATACATCCATACTTTGGCAGAGTCAAGCAGTGTATGTGCTGTAACGTGCTGGAAGTGGCCAGTCTGAAAAACAACACTGATATTATCGCACACCAGACATTCCCTATGAATTGCAAATTGTCAGAAGATGAACACTGACTCTACAAGAATTTACAGCATTTACCTCCTAGGCCTGCTTATCTAATTGCACTGAAGGCATTTCCTCAGGGTTCACATCACGAAGAGCCTTGAGACAATTCAGTAGTAAATCTCTGTGGGGACTGAGCTGAGAGCAGTGTCATGGCCCCAAGCACTGTGCCAAGAGCAGATGAGATTACTAACGCCAGTGAAATATTCTTTATCTGCACAACAACCGATCCTCTGGATTGTCACCAAGTGCAAAATGAAGCACCTATCTGCCAAATATGAGAAATTGCTTGTATTTCAGGACAGAAGCCTGACCTATCTGTTTATGTCTCATATGCCAGCTGCTTTGCCTACATCGGATGGAAATGAGAAATTTATTAAGTGTAAAGTGCACAGCACAATGGATAAGCAAACTAAAAGGCTCTTGCTTTGCTGACTGATTATTTTATTCACTCATTGATTAAAACATTTTTCCTGGGGCAAGAATGGCTGGTAAGCTTGTTTTGAAAAGTACAAATAGGAGAAGAATTAAAACAAGCAGATATATTTTTTTTTAACATCTAATCTCAACCATCTTACTTGGAAAAATATGTTTTTGTAAACTGCAAATGATGTAATGTTTTTGATGTTACTATTTAAAAGAAATTAATTCTTGGTTTTAGCTAAGACAAATAAAGGTTGGAATTGCATTGGATTTCACGCTCCTCGTGTATAACAGTAGTACAGTTGGTAAAGTGATAATTAATTGCTCCTCCTATTATGTCTCTCTAGAGATCTGAAGAATAATTTGATCAGCACAATTGAGCCAGGGGCCTTCCATGGACTTTCAGAACTCAAGCGCCTGTAAGTGTTAATTCCATTTGAATTATTCTGAAAATTGTGTTTGTATCGACATTTCTATCCTTGGGCAACTCAAATATGCCACCAAGCAATAATCACATAAGAACACTGGCTGTAAAATAGAAAATCACACACTGTGCTTTTTAAATTTACCATGCGTTTTTCTTCTTCTTTCCCTTCTTTTTTTCCATTTCCCCCCTCTTTTTTACCTTTTCCCATTTAAAATTATCTGTTTGCTCTCCAAAGATGTCCTAACAAGTACATCTACAAAGTTAAAAACCACACCTAATTAATGACTTAGCAGACAATATATCACTATAGACATTAATCAGAAATAAAACTGAGTGGTTTAAATATGTGTAAACAATGTTTTCTGCTACCCTAAGTTTTTTTCGTTATGTAAGGTCTACTTTACTTTTATCACAGACCAGGTCTGTAAAATAAATTCTTAGAAAGGAAACTTCGTCATGCTTTAGAATTTGTCTACCATTTTCATACCTCTCACATTGACTACGCTTGGTATTTTTTATTTTTGGCATGGTTTTCTAAGGAAACAATATATTCCCTGTCCATCATTCTTGCATTCCTCTCTTTGAAAATGTTCTCGTAGTACTTTTGAAAGCACTGGCTGATTTTTAAACTACATTTGTAGAGGGTAAAAATATCTAAGTTACTAAGATCCTACAAGTGGGCCTTTTTACTTTTAATGAACAAGGATTACAGACCCTCCTTAGTTCTAATCAGCCTAAAGGAAAAGTGAGATGAACCCTTTTTCAATTATAATTTTCCAAGTGACAGCATCCAAATGTCCATGTACTGGCTAACCAGGCCATCAGCACATGCCAGAAATCAGCCTAGCCATCGTGTGTGCTGTCTTATGTGTGATGAGAAAACCTATGAGAAAACGGGGATTATTTTCATGGGATGGGAAGATTTAGATGAGAAGGAATGCAAATCCACAGAAAAAAAAAATTTACAAATCCTTCTGCTTTTTTGCTCTTGGGTTAAATTCCCTAACTGCTACGTACAGGGAACACTGCACAACCTAAGTAAAAGATTTCCATCTCTGATCATGCAGGTAGCAGTATTTTCTAACATCGACCACTAAGTTTTAGTGCATTTGGGTAGAAAGCCAATGACATAATAATGATGAAGTCAGAGTAGCATATACATTTTTAATACAAAGAAAAACATTAGGTTGAAACTTTCTTGCTCACTCTGTATACAGGGGTAACAATACAATGAAATGATCAAAATGAGTGCTAATTGTTGCTTTGGCCGCATACTCTAATAACACAACCCTGACCTCTTGTGGGAAAACCAGGAAACCTGTGCAAGTCATGGGCTGCACATCTGAAGACTGCACGGGTGGAGCCTTGGGTCAGCCAGGAGAGACAAGTCAAGGAAGAGGAAGTCATTAGGCACTTGGAAAAGTCAGAAGAAAAGACTCTTCAGCAAACTAGGAATGGCGATGTTGAGATTTATCACGCTAGATCTCAAAAAAACCCTTGTCACTGATATGAACAAGTAACACCAGGAGCAATCTAGAGACAGGGAATCGATTCATTACTAGACTGCCACGTGTTTGAAACAAATCGCTGTAGTTTCATGGTACACAAGAAAATCTCTGCACTCCTTCACTGTGCAACTATTGGGTAGCAGACAGTTGAGCAAAATTAATAAATAGTGTAAACTTGAATGCTGAATACAGTAATTACTTTAAGACTGTACTTTGCATTCACATCTTATTTCACGTGTGAAATATAAATGATGCTGTGAAAAGCAGAAGCTGATGTAATATGGGCAACTGCAAGAGATATGGCTATGGCAAGTCAGACAGACAAACCGTGGGCTGTCAACATCAGAATGTTTTCTGTGAATGATTTGGAGAACTGTTATAATTTGTATTTGAATAACTGTTATAATTTGTATTTGAATGACAAACTGAATTATTTCAAGGGTTTACTCAAAAAAGTACACGCAAAATTGATGAAAACTGAAAATTTATGAAGCATTAAAATTATCGCACTCAGTTATTCAACAGAGGAGAGTTTTGTTTTCTCTAACATCAATTTTACGAGTCAGCATTAGTAAGTTAAATGTCTTACTCCTGAAAATGAACACTAGCTTTGTACATTACGAATTGAATTATGTCTAATATAACATATATTAGTTTGGAGGAATGTGCAGCAAGCTGTCTTTTTCTTTTTGCTAATGTTTTTTTAGAAAACATGCTTTACAACACAGAGATTTCAGTCACTGCCATATATCTTATTGTAAAAATAACACTCATTGAAATAAACTTTGAGAAAAGGGGCTGTAGCCTTTTGCTTTGTTAAAAATACCGTTTTACTGTGTGCCACACACAGAGAAATATGCACTTGCTTTGGCTAGTTTAGATTAAATTTACTTTTGCTACCCAAATTATACCCCAGCCAGTGATACATTTCTTCTATACGTGTTCAGACTTTGCTTAGGCAGAAGTAAAGCATTGCCCATCTAAGAATTCTGGGTAGGTTCTTGTTTACTATTTACCTCTTCTAATAGAAAGATGTTTCTCTCTATATATGTATGTTTGTTTGTTTGTCTTAAACTGGCATTTTTAGATTTTCTCTGTAGCTTTCATTAGGAAAACTTGAAGAATAATGCTAATATGCAATTATTGCACTATATTGTTATCCACACTATTTTCTCAGCTGTTGCCTACTTAATATCCCTAACAAACATTTAAGAAATATTTTCATTCTAATGCAATGTTTCATCATTTAATTGTACAACAATATATTCTTTGTCTGATAGAAGACGACTTTGTAGTGAATTCTAAAGATATTGCCTTCACATTCTAGCTAATTGGATACGTCTCCATGAAAGCAATAACTGGATTTGTCAAACTGCAACCTTTATTCTCCTGTTGGATTACTTTAGTGTTCTCATGTAACAATAGAAAAATAGGGAATCCGCACAATGTAACAAAGGAATCAGAAGACTACCACTGATTCTAAAACAAGAATGTATTCAGATCAGTTTTAACATTTTAATGGATGTATAATCACTTAAAATCCTTACATTACTGCAATTATTTAAAAACCCATACCTGATAAGAAGGAAAATTTGAGTCAAGGTTGAAAACCAAATACGTAAAAATTAAACACTAGTTCCGAATGCACCAAGGGGCAGTATTCATGTTGTTATCACAACATAATTGTTCATACCTATTTTTGCCTCCTTCCAATAAGTATCCTTTACATTATATTGTATGTATGACTTGTACAGAAAACATCCATTCACCTTTCTGCAGACAAGAGTTATGCAACATAATGCCTTGTACTATTTGTGGTCAGAGACAGCCACAGTATTGCTGTCAGAAGAGCTTGCCAAGTGCTTATCAAGACTGACCTTCTTACTAGCTCAAAAATTAATTACCCTCTGGTTTCTGTGACTTCTTCGGCAAGAAAGGATGCTGTCAATGAGATGAGACATTAGTAAACAGTAAAAAGGTATCAATTTTGGCTGCATGCAACAAAATGCATAGTATTTTTCATAAGTAAACAAACGTGCTAGTAACTTTGATAAAGAAAATTCTTTATAACGGAAATAATTTTTGGTTTTTTATTTGCCACATAGATAAAATCAGATTTTAATGCAATTAGTATAAGTTGCAGTATGGTATGTTTAATTGTGGCATATTGCTCAATAATGTTAATATAAAAGTAGTTAAATCTATTTAATTCAGTTATGTTACATTATGGAAAAAGGTTTTATTTCTCGTTTGTCTCTAACTCCTTAAGTGTTAAAAAGAAAGAGGCTGTATGTGATTATGTAGGTGTGTATATGAATAAGACAGCCCTAATGTTTCACATATTTTTTTTGTTTGTTTCAGGGATCTTTCAAATAATAGAATTGGTTGCCTAACACCGGAAATGTTTGTTGGACTTAACAGTCTTCACAAACTGTGAGTATAATACCACTTTTTTTTAAACAGGAGAAATCCAAACTGTCACATGGTTTACCTGAGTACAGGTGGCAGTAAACTTTCATTATAAGAAAATTATAGGTTTTGTACTAAAAAAAACCCCTCTCCTGAGCCTTTGATTGTTATGACTTGGTAATTTAAACATGATGTTTCTATTTGTAATTGTAAAATCTATCAGAATTGGAAGAATTAAATTGAATATATTTCATTTCCACATTGAAAAGAGGCTGAATGTGACGTTTCTGTTTGAATGCATTTCTCTTTGCATGTCTTGGAAACAATTAAAGGTCAAGCAGACAAAGGAGACTTACACTGGTTAAAAAGGATACATTGCTCTTTCTATCCGTTACAGATCAATTAGAATTTTATAACTTTTTTTTTTCCTGAAGCGTATCACAGAAAAAAGTAAGTATGTACCGAGAAAGAAATATATGAAGTATCAAGTAAATTTGGAATATCAGGGTAGTTCAAATTGCTTCAAAAATATCAATTTAGACTGTTCGTTTAAGGTACTGTGTTGTACACTTTATTTGTCATGGTACTTTCTGAGTCATTAGTTTATTACATGCAACTGCACTGGAATACAATCTAGAGAGCAAAGCAATCAACTTACATATCCATAAGCAAGCCAGAGAGCCTGTGTGATCAACAGATTATCAGGCTATTCTAGAAGGAGCACTCAGAAAACATGAGATTATGATAGTATACCCAGGCTGTTCAGTTTTAGGGAGAATCAAATGACCTGGAAGAAGAGAGAAAATGTGCAATGACAAAGTTTGCTAGCAGATACTAAGTTAACCAGGGAATTAGAGACAAGGGTTGATTTTGAAGAAGGACAGAAGTAATATACAGGACTCCATGACTGGGCAGTAAAATGGCAGATGAAATTTAATGAAGATAAATATTAGGTGATGAAAGGGAGAAAAAAACAATCTGTTCTGGGCTAACCATTAAAATACAGGAAAGGTGTTCTGAGATTATAGTGGATAATGCCATGAAAATGTCTGCTCAGTATCATTTAAAAATATATTAGGGAGTATTATTAAAGGAAGAGAGAACAAATCAGAGAACATCCATTGGACTACAGCAAAACGCAAAGAACCTGCATTTTGAATATTGTGGGCAATTCCAGTCTGCTCATCTGAAAAAGATGAAACTTTTCAAAACTAGAAAAGGTTCAGGTAAGGACAAAAAGGAATGGCCAAAGGTGTGGTACAGCATAGGTAAGTACTAGGAATGAGTAAGTTGGCTGCAGCTTTCCTGGCTGGGAAAGGGACAATTCACGGAAGGGTCCTGGTTTAAATGGACATTTGGTCAGAGCCGGGAGGGCTCTGTATCTTCATTCACATCTGTCTTCATTCCTGAATGGGAAATAAATTCCCATACTGCATCATAGTGTGTTACAAATCTCATACTTCATTTTCTTCCTCTCCAGCCAGTTCTGGCATTTCCTTGGAAAACTAGGGAAATCTTTCTAGAAAGATCTGCCATGAGGTCAAGATAACACCAGGTAAAAGGCTGAAATCTGGCATGCTTACTGATCACCTTAATGAGAGTAACTATGCCAAATCTTCTCTGATGAAAACAAGTGAGAACAGATGATGGGAAGAGCCTTGATAGCATGTTGGTGAACAGGTGCAGACTGCCCCTCTTTTTACTCATCTCAGATGAGTTGCCAAATCGGGCAAGCCCAACTCACCTATTGAGGGTTGCTGGGTCTCTTTTTCTTGTGCACAGTGAACATGACTGTGACTATATAGCCAGATTACCGTAGGAGGTATGTTTAATTCAAAATGGTGAAGTCACCTTATTAAATGTAAGGTGCTTCTAGATGCTAGGAACAACCTCAATAGAAATTGTTCAAATCCCTGCTCTCTCAGGAAAACATGTCTAAAAATTCCTTTCATAAATCTTCCAGACTCCATCTTAAAAACCAATTAGAAGTTAAATATAGAACTTCAGTCTTGGGATGGTAAGGAACAGAAATTCATTCACAGTGAGCGTACAACATTTGTTCTGTGACAGTGTTTGGCTATACTATCCCTTTCCTCTGAAGACCAGGAAAGAACATGGCAGTATACCTCTGCATCCTTCACTGATACCAGAGATGTCGGAAAAGGGCACAATATGCATGCTTAATGCCGTCTGGTTACCAGGCTGATCAAACCACACCATTACAGTTTCCTTCTGTAAAACAGATTTGCCATATCCCTGCTCATCCTAGTAACCTGTGTACCTGTCCCAGGGTTGGTGAATCTTTTCTGAGCACGTAGATCCAGAGAAAGTCTCACCAGTTCCCTCTACACTATCATTAACACTGTATTTTCTTGCATCTAGTCTTTTTGTGCATCCTAAGTAAATATTTACCTTTTCCTCAAGATGGGGCTAACTTGCATTTCCAAGTGGGTGTAGATCCAGGGCTTTCTGTATTGTTTTCCTTTTGAGGCCCCAGTTTATTGCAGAAATTTGAATTAGACCTTTCTTAAGTATAATTCTCAAGTGACATTCTTGTTACATTTTGCACTTTGAATAATACTATTTAATGAAATTACTAGACCTCTCATCTTCAAGAACGTTCACCTCTTCTTGTATCATAGTTCTCTTAACAGTGACCAATCCTTGGTTTTGTTATTACCAGATTTCATTTTCACATGCTTACATTTCTGAGCCAGAGTCATTAGTGAAAGCACTAAATACAATTACAAGACTGTTCTGCAGAACACCAGTAATGTCTCACTCCCCTCCCTTCTATCCTGTCCATTATCTTACAGTGTCTTATAATAAATGCACTTAATGCCAGGTTCTTCACGCTTTAATGGCTGTTATGTCCATGCAGCAGTGGAAAAAATGATGATTCTGGTAACTGCAGACCTGTTAGTCTGGCCTCGTTGTATTTGTTGCAGTAACTGAGTGAGTTTTGAAAGAAAGAAAAAAGGAAAAAAATGTTGGCAAATAAGAAATGGGGAAAAAATCAATATGTATCCATTGAATGTGTCATCTAATCATATCAAAAGATCACTAATTTTCTAGACAAGAAAAATTATTTCTTGATTTTGATATACATGATACTACATAAGCAGGAGAAAACCATGAACATTTATACTAGTGTTTTCTTGTGAGTGGAATTAGCCTAGAAGGCCTCTAGTTGCCCAGGTATTTTTTGGATTTTAACTAGTTCTGCAGATCGGTAGTCATACTGTAGGTGGTCTTGGGAAAGATCATTTCCAGAATTTAGTGTATGCTTCTCCCATAAATACCTATAATCCAAATGACCAACCTTACTGAACAGCATAGAAAGTAGTAGTAATGGGATATATTTAGGCTATATATAATATCTACTCTTTCTTCATTTCTTACTTATAATATAGTAGAATCGTTAAAGTGTCTTTTGCACCTTGTTTTAGTATACTTTCCAAAGTTTAACTTAATTTTTGGTAATTCTCTTTATGCTTTGTGTCTTTTTGCTGACCCTTTCCTGTTCATTATAGTCTCTCTACTTCTTTGATCTTTTTAAAACGTGATTTTGTTTTTCAAGATTTAAGAGTTGGTCCATTTATTCTATCTTCCATTTTTCTTATTTGGGTTTTAAATTGCCTTTCTACTATTGACTTAACAAATGGTGCCGTCCTGCATTCCAGTTCATGTACTTTAGTAGTTCTTCACTAGTTACTTTATTTATTTTTTTTATTTCAAAAGTCTGTCTTTTGGAAATCAGAGGCATAGTAATAGATAAGTCTAAATTCCCCTTTCATCCGAAGTAAATCAGTTCATGATTGCTATGTCAAAAGTTATGACTTTCTCTTTTGTAGGGACTGTCCTCCTTACCAAACCAAAGTCAAGAGTACCATTACTCTTGTTGGGTCAGTGATTATTTTGTGAAGAAATACAACCACAGTCTCAATCAAGAGGAACTGTTCCCTGCCGTTCATAGTATCATTTGATCCTCGATCTCAGAAATCTCATATAATGATATAATGCTGATAGTAATTATCTGAGCTGGGATCTCAATTTGCCTCTGGTGTAAGAACTGGTGATTTTTCGTTGACTGCAAGCTAATGCCACCTGGTACTTTTCTAACACTTTCTAGCTTTTTTCAACAGCATAGAAAGTAGTAGTAATGGGATATATTTAGGCTATATATAATATCTACTCTTTCTTCATTTCTTACTTATAATATAGTAGAATCGTTAAAGTGTCTTTTGCACCTTGTTTTAGTATACTTTCCAAAGTTTAACTTAATTTTTGGTAATTCTCTTTATGCTTTGTGTCTTTTTGCTGACCCTTTCCTGTTCATTATAGTCTCTCTACTTCTTTGATCTTTTTAAAACGTGATTTTGTTTTTCAAGATTTAAGAGTTGGTCCATTTATTCTATCTTCCATTTTTCTTATTTGGGTTTTAAATTGCCTTTCTACTATTGACTTAACAAATGGTGCCGTCCTGCATTCCAGTTCATGTACTTTAGTAGTTCTTCACTAGTTACTTTATTTATTTTTTTTTATTTCAAAAGTCTGTCTTTTGGAAATCAGAGGCATAGTAATAGATAAGTCTAAATTCCCCTTTCATCCGAAGTAAATCAGTTCATGATTGCTATGTCAAAAGTTATGACTTTCTCTTTTGTAGGGACTGTCCTCCTTACCAAACCAAAGTCAAGAGTACCATTACTCTTGTTGGGTCAGTGATTATTTTGTGAAGAAATACAACCACAGTCTCAATCAAGAGGAACTGTTCCCTGCCGTTCATAGTATCATTTGATCCTCGATCTCAGAAATCTCATATAATGATATAATGCTGATAGTAATTATCTGAGCTGGGATCTCAATTTGCCTCTGGTGTAAGAACTGGTGATTTTTCGTTGACTGCAAGCTAATGCCACCTGGTACTTTTCTAACACTTTCTAGCTTTTTTCCCCTTGGAAATTCATACAAACTTCCCAGAATCAAACTTTTAAAACATTTTTAAAATACAATGTCACCTTTCT